TCTAAAACACCCTATACTCAATGACCACGTCGAGGCAACCAAGTGAGGCGTACCTTAGGAGTGGCATGTGCGAGTGTGTCAGGTTTCAGATTATGTTATCTTTGCACATGTTATGGTGAGCTACGATTGATTTTAATTTTAGAGAAGATCTTGACATGCATAGCCTAGTTAGCATACATCTAGCAGTTAATATTTGCGGAAAGTAAACTAAACTATTACAAGGCGTCGGGTATTTACATCGCCAAAAACAAACCCTTGAAAAAGTAAATTGCGAGAATTTAAATGAAAGCGATAAAAAGTCCTAGTTAAAGCTATTACATCCTCGAAGCATTTACATAAATATGGATCAAAATTTAATAAAACAAGCATACGCGCGAGAGAAAATTGAATCGGAGAGTTTCTTAGGGTTTTGACCCTTTTTTGAGAAAAGAAGAGTCTTTTTTGTTATTTGGTATTTAATTAAATTAAACCTAGACTAATTAATTAATTAAATAAAAGAAAGAAATATTTTTGGTTTTTTTAATGTTTTAAGGAAATAAATAAAAAAGGAAAACATGATTAAAAGTTGTCAAGAACCCTAATTCTATGTTGATTTTAAATTATTGAAAAAAGTTAGAATTATCCTAATTAAACTAAATTAGTTAATTATATTTATTTACAAAAATAATAAAAGGGTGAAATTAATTTTAATAACTAATAAAAATAATATTATTTTTAGTTTTCTGATTTTAATATGAAAAAATTAATTTGGTTAATTAAATAATAATAATAATAATTAATAATAAAAATAGTTAAATGGAAAATAAAAAGAGAAAAAAGAATAACCCAGGGGGGTGTTGGCCCAAGTTAGGAGGTGTGTTTGGAAATCTGAAGCCCATTGACAATTCCAGCCACGTTTGACTTTTCTGGATTGCCCATGCATGTGTTAACTAAGGACCATGATAGTCCCTCCATCTAGGCCATTGGATCCAGGCTTGGAGACACCTGGCGCCTTGAAATTGAAGCATATGGTAGAACTCCTTTTTGAGACCTGCATGTGAATATATGAAACAAAATAGCACAAATGTTTTGGGGGGACCTGGGACTCGAACCCAGGTCCCAATGCTTATTGGACGCTTGCTCAACCACTCCACCATGCTGCCTCAATTGTCATTGGAATAACAAGTATTGATTATATATGCAAACAAAATAATATACTGAAATTATAAAAAAAACGCGCGCTTTTTTCAAATCGTCCAATGAAGTATCAACACATCATCGTCTTCCTCGTTCGTTCTATATAAAAGAATATTAGATAGCGGGGGTTTTTAACCCCCACAAACTAGATGCACGAATAATAGCGATTAGCACCACAGTATATATAAATATTTCACGAAGTATTGGGCTTGTTCGTCTTGGCCTAACGATTCCAACCATGCGCCTTAGGAGTCCTAATTGTGCCTGGGTCAGAAAGCCCCAACTGAAAACTCAAGAACCCTAAAAAATTGTTCATGGCATCTTGTGATTCAGGGAGTTATAGTTCAATTAAATGATACCATTAGCTTCGTATGGTCCCTAGCAACACAAATCAACCACAAAAACATGTTAAATATGCATGAATCAAGATATACGATTATGAATCAAAAAGCCAAACCGTGAAACTGTGTGCAACGATTCCTTGAGCTTTGGTACTGGAATTTGATTGTAAATCGTTCCTGGGAACTCCTGCAAGGAGTTTGAATCAATAAAAACCCTTGAATCGCCTTAGAATGCAAAATTCAGTTTTCAATTTTCTTGGAATTTCTTGAAATTGGACAGGGTCTTTCTGCAGCTTTTTTCACGTCTATTAGGTTAGGGTTTGCTTGCATGTATATAAGGCAATTGAATTAGGTCAAAAGCTTGGGCAAAAATCCATTGCATTGATGTTTGAATCCTTGATTGAAAATCAAATCTTTTTGATTTTTCATGATTGAAAAAAGTTGCCAATTTTGTATTTTTTGATATCTTTGACTTGTGTACGAATTTGCCAGCATGTCTAGGTCAGATTTGCTTCACAAGTTGATTGAAAAAATCAAATCTTCTATTTTCCTACAATTTAAATTAATTAAATGAATTAATATTAATTAAAAATCCAATTAATCAATAAAAATAAGAAAATAAATTCAATTAAGCTTGATGGGTCGTGCATAGGTCATGGGTGAAGTTTCAAGAAGAGATTTGAGGCCCATTAGCAACAATAAGGTGTTTTGAGCAAAGTTGACTTTTGCAAATTCATAAAAATTTCCCAACTTCTCCAATGCACAACTTGCTCAATTTTAATCATATGACCATGTTCTTGGACATTTTGGAAAGCTCTTGAAGTCCTCTAACCAATGCCTTTGGTCCCATGTCATTTGGATTTACCAATCTAAAGTTATGGCCTTTGACTCAAAGTGCATTTTTGTTGACTTTTGAATTTGACCTATAATGTAAAAATTAATAACTTCTTGTGAGAGCATTTCTTGAACTTGGAGTGTGAAGATGGATTGTAGGAAATTGCATCCCCTTAAAAATGAGCATTGGATGGAATTTTTCTGACAAACCATGAAAAAGTTATGCCCTGGTCAAGATACAATTGACTTTTCTACTGTCCAAAAATAGTAACTTTTTGCATCTTGATGATTTTTGAGCTATGCTTGTGGAATCATGATCAAGACTTGATCAAATGATGATTGTGGACTCAAAATAATATGTTGACCAAAAATTCTGACTTTTGACTGCAAAATTACCATTTTGCCCCTGCAGTTGACTGTAGATCAAATGAGGCTTTTGATTGTGCAAATTGGCATTGTGAGTCTTGAGACTTGGCATGTAGGTGCTTGGGGATGTATATAGGCCTATTAGACTTGGTTGAACCATTGAGAACCCCAAATTCCTTGAAAGAACCAAAACCCTAATTTCAGCTGTCTTAGGAGATGGTTTGACTGTCTACCTCTTGAGCCATCTTAAGTAATTTGAAGATTATTCTTGACAAATCTTGAGGAATATGACGGAAAATTTTGGGGTACAACAGGTCCACTTAGGAATGCACACTTCACGCCCATCTGATATATATGCCATATGTGTATTTTTGGTAGACCAACAACCAACTTGATTGTTTCGATCCTAACAACAGGTGCAAAAACTTCATCGAAGTCTATTCCTTCTTTCTATAGAAATCCTTTCGCCATAAGCCTTGCTTTGTGTCAAGTTACTTACCCTTTGGGATTCATCTTCACTTTGTATACCCACTTGACATCAATTTCCTTCTTGTCTTGAGGCAATTCGACAAGTGACCAAGTGTTATTGTCTTTGATAGACTTCACTTCTTCGTTCATTTCTTTCACCCACTTTGAATCCTTCAATGCTTAAGCTACATTGACAGGTTCGACATATGCATAGAAAGAATAATGTACCAACTCACCTTCATTATCTATCACATCATCTGATTTAATTACGCAATCTTGCAATCTTGTAGGCACGCATCTTATTCTTTGAGGTCTGCTTGTACTTGGTTGATCTATAACTGTCGGTTTCTCTTGTCGAACTTCTCTTGCGACTTGAGTTTCTGGCTCTTCAAGTAGGATTCCCACTGAATCTTTCTTGACATTTTCAGTCCAATCCAATTCTTTAAGCTCATCTATGATCACGTCCCTGCTGATCATAATCTGCTTGTTCACTGGGTCGAATAACTTGTAACCTCCTGTCGAATGATATCCAACTAGAATCATTTAACTCGACTTGTCATCAAGTTTTCTTCTCAACTAATCTGGAACATGTCTATGTGCAATAGATCCAAATACCTTCAGATGACTCAAGTTAGGCTTCACACCAGACCAACATTCTTCTGGAGTAATTCCTTCTAGCTTCTTCGTAGGACATCTGTTCAAAATGTATGTTGCAGTCGAAATAGCTTCACCCCAAAACTCTTTAGGTAAATTCTTGTCTTTCAACATACTTCTCACCATATTCATGATGGTTCGATTCTTCCTTTCTGCAGTTCCATTATGCTGTGGACTATAGGGTGACACCACCTCATGCATAATCCCTTCCTTTTCACATAGCCTATCGAAGTCTTTTGACACACACTCTCCGCCACCATCAATTCTCAAAACTTTGAGTTTTCGACCACTTTGTCTTACGACCATAGACTTAAACTTGGAAAATATCTCGATCACTTCACTTTTCTTCTTGATCAGGTAAGTCCACAACTTTCGACTGAAATCATCTATGAATGTAACAAAGTATTTATTACCTCTCATCGAATTCATCTGAATTGGTCCATATACATCAAATTATATGACTTCAAGAATAGCCTTCGACCTGCTTCCTGCATCCTTGCTGAAGCTATTCTTGTGTTGCTTCGCCTGCACACGTTCCTCACATACCTTGTTTGGAATGTCGATTTCTGGAAATCCTGAAACCATATTTCTTCTCTTCAAATCTCCGGTGTCTCTGAATTTGAGATGACCTAGTCGATAATGCCATATCCATTCATCTTTGCTAGCTGCAGTCGAAAGGCACTTGTGCTCAATCACATTTAGTTCGATCTTGAATGTTCGATTCTGAGATATAGGAGCCTTCAAGATTAATCTTCCATTTGCATTGATGACTCTCATCATCTTATCTTCGATCGAAACTTTATAATTATTTTCGACTAACTGCCCTATACTGAGCAAATTACTCTTCATGTCTGGTATGTACAACACATTAGAAATTACTAACCTCTTGCCATCTTTCCTCATAATCATAACATCACCAATACCTTCAGCTGCTAGGGTATTGTTATTTGCGAATTTTACCATATTTTTCATTGAGGGCTTTATGTTGACAAACCAATCTTTCCTTCTAGATATATGTGATGAGCATCCTAAATCCAAGTACCATTGGTCCTTGAATCTATCTTCATCTCTTGTTGTGACCATCAATATCATCTCTTCTTCTTCATGTTTTGCAAACTTTGCATCACTTTCTTGATTCTTTTGTTTTTCTGGACAATCACTCGAATAGTGACCATACTTATGACAATTGTAACATTGAATGTGACTCTTGTCAGGTTTTCGACCACCACCTCTTCCTCTATTTGCAACAACACCTCTTTGGTTGCCTTGGTATGGCCTTCTTTGATTCGACATATTTCTTTCGTTCTGGTTTCCTCTACCATTCGATTTGTTGTAGCTGCATCTATCTCTGTCGAACCATTTTCCTTTGCCTTTGGTTTCTTTTCCTAAATGTGCCTGCAAAGCCACATCACTCTTCGATTTTCCTGCAGCTCTTTCAGTCATTCTTTGTTCATGAGATTCAAGTGTCCCTTGAAGCTCTTCCTTTGGAAATTTCGACAAGTCTTTCCCCTCTTCTATAGCCACCACCACGTGGTCGAATTTAAGAGCCAAAGATCTCAAGATTTTCGAAACAACAACTCTTGTTGTTAATGTTTCTCCATATACCTTGATTTGATTCACTAGTTTTGTAACCCTAGTGAAGAAATCAGATATGGTCTCACTATCTTCCATCTGAAGCAATTCATACGTTCTTTTGTGAGTTTGTAACCTCACTTATTTCACCTTTTCTGCACCACCAAAAGACTTTTCAAGTACATCCCAAGCTTCTTTTGCAGATTCTGAATCACTCGCTTTTTAAAAACTTTCCAGACTCACACGTTGGTGAATTATAAAGAGTGCTTTATAACTCAGCTTCTCAATTTCTGTGTGTTTCTTCTTTTCTTCTTCTGAAGCGTTTTCTCCAAGCGTTTCGAATCCATCTTTTACAAGATCCCAAAGACCTTGACACATGAACAAAACTTACATTTGTTTGCACCAATTCTCATAGTTGTCTATTTTCAGAATTGGTAGAGTTGCTGGATAATTTGCATTCTCATAATTCGCCATCGTGAATTCTTTTTCTTCCTCAATCATTCTCGATCGATACTTTTCTTGAATCGAAACCGAGCTCTTGATACCAAATGTTGGAAATCCACCAAATATCTATGATGAATTTCTATCAATCTTGATGAACAAGATTGATATCACCACACAATGACAATGAATTATGAGAAAAGAAAAGAAAGAAAGAAGACAATTATTTTCTGCAGAGTTTCTCTCTGCCCACAAACTATGGAAAATTTTGTTATTCACTTGCAACTGTAAATTTTGTGAATATAACTTAATTGACTTGATTGTCTTTATTACAAAATTAGGGGTTACTCCCTTTATTTATAGATTTAGGTTAGTTTGCTACTAAGCCAAAGTCAAAAATTATAAAAGCTCAAAATATCTATTTTAGATTTAAATCAAATCTATCTAAATCTAAAAACAAATCAAATATGTATGTATAACTTATTTCGATCCACAAGCTCTTTGACTGGGTAATGACTTCCTTCGAACAACCTGCTTCGATTCACTTCTAAACCCTTCGACACACATAATTTCGATACTATGAATTATAAATTTAACAAAAATAACATAATCAAGAGTTAACAAATAACAATGACATTAAGAATTTGAAAGGAAAAAAATTAATAGCAGGCAAGTTAGATATATTAGTGCAGAAAGAGTAACCATTTGGCTAGAAGAAATAGAATAGTAAATGATATGTAAAATTTATGAAAGATGAATGCTAGAAGAAGTTAATGGCTTAGTGGATTTAAAGGTGATTTTTGTAAGTGCGGGAAACTAACTGTTATAAGTGGGGAAATTTGTGGGGAATATTAATATAAATTTATTGAGATAAATATAGTAAAAAGTAGCAAGATATGCAACATATCTATAAATTTATTTATTTTATTTTTGTTAACTAATTTAATAGTTTTATTTATATGGTAGGATGAGAATTCCAACTCGGAGTGGTGCTGTTGTACGTGATGTTTGTAATGATCTTGAAGTTTGATAAATGTAATGTTTATCTAGTTTTTTGTTGCATTCATTTTTCTCTTTTGAGGGCTCATATTTGTAATATTGAACTCAACTTATTATAATTCTTTTTTAAAACAAAATAGCTATAAACGTTGGCAATGAGTCAGCTCAACCGTCCTCATCTTATTTATCTATAGTAATATAATATATGACGGAATAAATCATAGTTTTTGTGCATTCTGTTTTTTTTTCCAAATATTCTTTTGTTTTTATTTAAACTTTAACTTCTTTGACTAATATCCGATTTAAAATTTAAGTTCCACATTATTAGAATTAATTTAGATTTAATTAGATATTAGTTTATATTTAGGAATATCTTTTAGATTGTTTATATCTTTGTTAGAAGATAAATATCTTAGATCTTCTTATATCTTTGTATAAGATATATTTTAGATTTAATTTGTGTGTATAAATAGCCTAGTGGAGTAGGTTATTGTAATTCATTGTAAATCCTTATTCTTTGAAGCTATTAGTAAATATTCCTTTTGCCTTTTAACTTCTTTGCGCTCCAACAATTGGTATCTAGAGCTCCTGGTTAGAAACTCTGAAATTTGGAAAACATTGTTTTTTCATTAAGTTTCTGCGTAAATTGCACAAGGTAGAAGATGAACGGAAACGTCAATATTCATTCCAAGCTTCCAGTATTTGATGACAAAAATTGGAATCGTTGAAAGATCTAGATGCGCGTGTTATTCGGCTCTCAAGATGTGTTAGAACTTGTTACTAATGGTTATAATCTGTTAGAAGCAGATGCAACAGAGGACCAGAAGATAGCACAAAAGGTGCTGAGGAAGAAAGATCAGAAAGCGTTGTTCTACATCCATCAATCTGTGGATGTGAATGTGTTTGAGAAGATTGTTGATTTTGAAACAGCAAAGGCTGCGTGGGACACACTGGTCAGATGTTACGGTGGTGATGTATCAATGAAGAAGGTGAAGCTTCAGTCTCTCAGAAAGCAATATGAGAATCTCAACATGAAGGACAACGAGAAGGTTTCTGAATACATCTCTAGAGTGATTCTGATCACTAATGAGATGAAAGCTTGTGGAGAAACTCTGTCTGAACAAGTAATTATTGAGAAGATCTTGAGATCTTTAACTTCTCAGTTTGATTAAATTGTTGTAGCAATTGAACATTCCAAAGATCTGAGCACCATGAGAGTTGAAGAGCTGCAAAGTAGTCTAGAGGCGCATGAGTTGCGTATGACTGCAAGAACTTCTGAGAGGAAAGTAGAGCAGCAGGCTCTGAAAGTAACTTCTGGTAAGAAGCATCAGAAGCAGACTTGGTCAGAAGCTAGGAAGAGAACTAATGGTGGTCAAAAGTCAGAAGCTTCAAACTCTGATAGACAGAAGAATGTCCAGAAGGGAAAAGAAAAGTTTGATAAGAAGAATGTTCAGTGTTACTGTTGTAAGAACTTTGGTCACTATGCCAGAGATTGTTGGTCCAACAAAGAAAGGAAGTCAGGAGAAGCAAATATAGCAAGAGGAGACTCTAATGATGAACCTGTGCTATTGTTGGCTTCTGAACCTGATGATCTGAATTCATCAGAATGGTGGTATATGGACACAGGGTGTTCAAACCATCTTACTGGAAACAAGAAGTGGTTGGTTGACTTTGACTCTAAAAAGAGTACAAAGATCAGATGTGCTGATGATAAATACCTCAATGTAGAAGGTATGGGAAATATCAGAATCATTCTAAATAATGGGCAAGCAGCAGTGATCCAGAATGTTTGGTATGTACCTGGCATGAAAAGCAATCTGATGAGTGTGGGACAACTGGTTGAGAAAGGTTTTTCAGTTACCATGAAGGACAATCTTCTGAAGCTGTATGGCTGTAATCAGAAGCTGATTAGGGAGTCAGAACTGGGAAGGAACAGAATATTCAAGGTGAATGTTAGAACTGCAGACTCTGAATGTCTTTGTGCAACAAGTGTTGTCAAGGAGAGTGAGCTGTGGCACAGAAGATTTGGTCATCTGAATTTCAGAAGTTTAGGGCATCTGAAATCAAAGAATCTGGTACATGGAATTCCTACAATCAAGAAGCTTGAAAAGTCATGCAAGGTGTGCATGGAAGGGAAGCAACCAAGATTACCCTTTGCATTAGAAGTAGCTCCAAGAGCAAAACATGCCTTAGGAGTAGTACATTTTGATGTGTGTGGTCCGTTTCCAGTAGCATCGACTGGAGGGGATAAATATTTTGTGTCATTTTTTGATGAGTTCACCAGAATGACATGGGTATCTCTCATAAAGTTCAAACACGAGGTATTTGCTAAATTCAAAAAGTTTAGACTGAAGGCTGAGAAGCAGAGTGGCCAGACTCTGAAAATTCTTAGAACTGATGGTGGTGGTGAGTATAACTCCACGGAATTCAGAAGTTTCTGTGAGGAGAATGGAATTGAGCATGAGGTTACCGCTCCATATACTCCTCATCATAATGGTCTTGTTGAAAGAAGAAATCGTACTTTGCTAGATATGGTGAGAAGCATGTTGAAAGAGAAGAAGCTTCCTCATACTCTGTGGGGAGAAGTTGTTGCAACTGCATGTTATGTGCTCAACAGATGTCCAACAAAGAAATTAAAGGAAATATTTCCTATTCAGAAGTGAACTGGAGATAAGAAAAGTGTTAGTCATCTGAAGGTATTTGGTTCTGTATGTTACAAACATGTCCCAGAGAAGCCAGAAGAGAGAAGTTGGATGATAGAAGTAGAGTGATGTTGTTGGTGGGGTATCACAGTACAGGTTCATACAAACTTTATTGTCCAGAAACTAACAAAGTTGAGTTCAGCAGAGACGTCATTGTAGAGGAATCAGAAGTTTGGAATTGGGAAAAATATCGTCCTGACTCTGATGACAGAACTTCTGAAGAAAGGTCAGAAATACATGTTTTTGAAGCTAGTAAAGACTGACTCTGAAGAAGATACAGAAGGAGAAGATGATTCTGACTCTGACTCCGATGGTGATCCAGACTCTGAAGACAGTCAAGGTTCTGGAGAAAGTCCAATTTCTAAAGCAAGTGCTTCTGAAGGGGAAAGTTCTGGAGAAAGTCCAATTGCTGAAGCAAGTGCTTCTGAAGGGGAAAGTTCTGGTGTCCAAAGTTCTGAAGGTCTAGTTCAGAGGCAACAAAGAGTCAGAAGCATCCCAAGAAGATTTGCAGAGTTTGACATGTTGCTAGATAGTGAAGTAAACTCTGAAGGAGAAGTTATTCAGTGTGCAATGTTAGTAGACTATGAACCCGTGAGTACGAAAGAGGCTCTTAAGCACCAAGTTTGGTTACAGACCATGAAAGAAGAACTTAATGCTATAAAGAGAAACAAGACTTGGAAGCTGACAGAACTTCCAAAAGGCAAGAAAGCCATCAACGTCAGATGGGTTTTCAAGCAGAAGCTAAAGCCAGATGGATCAATTGGCAAACACAAAGAGAGATTAGTAGCAAGAGGATTTCTATAGAAGCCTGGGATGGATTACTTTGAAGTGTTTTCACCTGTAGCGAGACATGAAACAATCAGACTAGTGATTGCAATAGCTGCTAACAGGAATTGGCCTCTGATGCATTTAGATGTAAAATCTGCATTTCTGAATGGTCCATTACAAGAAGAGGTG